TAAAATAAAAATTTTGGGGAAAAAAAATTTAGGTGTAAAAACCTTGATGAAGTTCTGATTGCTGGATTTGGTCACAAAGGTCATGCTGTTGGTGACATCCCTGGGGTCCACGTTAGGGTTGTCAGAGTAGCCAGTGTCTCTCCGTTGGTCCTATGCAAAGGCAAGAAAGAAAGACCAAGATAATGCATTTTGGTGGTGAAAACACAGTCGAAATATATTTTTATAAGCCAAAGGAAAAAGATGAGTCAGCGAGTCACATTAGAAAGGTGTTGAGGATATCCTGTTACTGAACTGATAGTAATGGAAAGAACTGAAGATGGAGGAAGCAGCCACCCTATGTGACTTGCTGGGATCTAACGCCCCATCACCTTCCCAGCACCTGCGATTGTGTGTCTGTGTGGGCAGCACCGTGGTGTAGACGGACAAGACTTTACTCTGGCTGTGAGGCACAGCTACTGTAAAAGAACACTGCATTTTGATTTATGGGCATTTTCTTTTTTAAGGACAGCAGCCCCTGAGATCACACCTGTGAGCCTTTGAAGGTGTGTAGGCTCACCTTCAAAGTGAGCCTTTGTAAGTAGGGCTGCAGGCATCCCTGTGTGCCCGGGCAGGTGTCTGGCATTCTGTTTCTATAGAGTTCCTGCAGCCGGGGCTGAGGTCCCAGCATCTCAGATAAACACGATTTACTTTGTCAACTGCTTCTCAGGTCCACATAGAGCATGGTGTCTGGGTCTCCCTCAGCCGCTTTCCGTCTTTGAGGAAGTCACTGGCCTTGCCCGTGCATTTTCACTGGTGACACACATGCCCTTAAACACGCTCGAGTTAGGCCAATGACAGAGGCATAGATTGTTTTTCTTGTTTTGACTCAGACAATTTTTTAGAAACTAAATTGTTTTATTATTTGGCATCTTGAGCAAGTTTGGGACATATCCAGAGCTTACACCTTGAATCTCTGAAGAAAAAAAATGTCACTATGTCTGCATTTGAGCCTTGATACTTGGTAGAGACGTGGTCTGTGGTTAGGACTGTGTGTGGGTGGCTGGGGCAAGGGGCTTCTGTTTTCTGCGGTGCCTGTACCTTTAGGAAGTCTTCAAGGACAGCGCTATTGTCTACCCTTGATGTCATCCAGCACAGATGAGGAATCAGGAATTCTAGAAATTTTGAGCAAAGGGTGGTTTTAAATTGCGCTCTCCCATCCTGCCATCACCTCCTGTGTCACGTGCGAGAAGAGTAAGAAGAGTGGGTCCATCTGGGTGTCTGGGGTGTTTGCTTGGGCTACCATGACAAGGGGCCACAGATAGGGTGGCTTCAACAACAAGAACTTATTTTCTCAGCCAGGCATGGTGGCTCATGCCTGTAATCCTAGCACTTTGGGAGACCGAGGTGGGGGGTATCACTTGAGGTCAGGAGTTCAAAACCAGCCTGGCCAACATAGTGAAACCCCGTCTCTACTACAAATACTAAAAATTAGCAGGGCATGGTGGTGGGTGCCTGTAATCCCACTTACTCGGGAGGCGGAGGCAGGAGAATCACTTGAATCTGGGAGGCAAAGGCTGCAGTGAGCTGAGATTGTACCACTACACTCAGCCTGGGCGACAGAGCAAGACTCTGTCTCAAAACCCTCCTCCCACAAAAAAAAAAAGAACAACAACAACAAAAAAAACTGAAAAACTTATTTTCTCACAGTTCTGGAGGCTGAAAGACCAAGATCAAGGTGCCAGCAGGGTTGATTTCTGGTGAGGCCTCTCTCCTTGGCTTGCAGACGGCCAGCTTCTCTCTCTGTCCTTATGTGACTTTTCCTCTGCAGGCACTTCCTGGTGTCCCTTCTCTCATCTTATAAGGATACTGGTCCTGTGGGATCAGAACCCCACCCTTATGACCTTATTAACTTTAATTACCTCATTAAGGCCTTGTCTCCATATAAACTCCGATTGGGAGTTAGGGCTTCAACATGTCCATTTGGGAAGGGATGCAATTCAGTCCATAGCATGAGTTGTCCCAGGAGTGAGTGTCGCAAATGCCGTCCCAGTTCAGATTGAGCATCCCATCCCAGCCTGTGAAGCACCTGAGATTCTACTCTAGAGCAGTCACTTGACTCTTGCGAACCCCAGAGGAGCTTGGCAAAGAAACTCATGAGCTCTGTCCCCCAAAGCAGCGAATGCTTCACTCACATCCCAAGTGGCTTCCCTGGCTTCGTGTAATAATGCGTGCAGGTGGCTGCCTCTGTACTGTAATTGAGCTAGAGCTAGGTTATTTAATCCTC